GTGCAAGCCAAATTACACCAAGGTCAAAGCATTTTAGTTCTCATGCACTTCATATTCTTAAAGTAATATCACTGATATACAAATAGCTATTTCACAATAGCGTCTTAATTCATTGATTAGTAATTGAGTTAAGAAACTTCTAAAATGTTTGCTTTCATTTTCGAAGAAACTTCAAGAGAAACAGTATAACGCTATCTACAATATGTGATAGAGCTCCTCATGTTTTGTGCATTTTAGCAGTTATTTCCAGTGCTCGATGTCTTGTGGGTGGCACAGTGATGGAGTGGTTAGTACTGAAGCCTCACATCGCTGGGGCCCTGGGTTTAATTCCTGGGGTGCTATTGCATATGCATGGAGTTTATATATTCTCCCTGTGTTTATGTAGGTTTCATCTGGGTGCTCTAATTTCCTCCCATGTCCAGAGACATGGGAATTCATTGCAAACAGTAATAATAATATGTGTTACCTGAAACACTATAAATGACAGCAGAAAGTGTGCTTGGTGATTTAGTAACATGTCTATTAAAAGCTGCCTTTCATTTTTATTTTTTCATTGCAGCATCATTAATCTACATAGGTATTATTTGTCAGTCATACTCAAATACAAACTTGTCCTGAAGATTTTCACAAAATTTGCTCATTAAATGTTTGGTTAATATTCTGGTAGGGCAGAGTTTTATATATTGGTGGTACAATTTTTTATATATGATCGCAATCCTTTTATATACAGTACAGTAATATGCAAAGAAATCTGTGTATACACTCATGCAGATTCATTGTGTTGGTGTTTTAACATTTTTCAAAAAACAAAGTACTGATAAGGGAGGCAAATGCTCAAATTGTGGGGATACAATTAGTGAAGTACCACATGAATCTGTATTTTTTACTGTGCTCTTCACCTCCTACTTTACGTAGATGATATACTGTAGATTTTGATCAAATCAGTATACTTGACAAATGTGCGATAATATCAAAATAGAATATTCAGCAAATTCTGTACAAACAGCATAAAGAAAGCACAAATAATTCATATTAAAAAAACATCCAAGACAAGGCAAATATTGCAAGATGATTACTTTTAACGCAGGGTAGTAAAGTGTGTACATGCAGGTAACAAGAACATAAACTACAGATAAAAGATGCTAAAACTAATATTTTGTACAATGTTGATCACCATATCACAAAAACAAATTGCTGCTCTTGAATTAGTTTAGAGAAATACAGCCACGTGTAATCTTGGTTTTGAATGAATGTCCTACACTGAAATGCTAAAAGAGCTGAATATTTTTAGTCTTTAGAACTTTTAGATAGAACATTTTCAGGTACTCTTGAAATCTTTTGTAATGTTTGTAATGTAATGCCTGTTTTTTTATTTCCAGTTAAAATATATTCTGTTATAAAGATCTATTGTGGTTTTAAACACACTGTTGATACTTCATATTTGTAAAACATAATATTTCAACAGCAACATTTCATTTTCTTTAAAACAAGTTTAACATTTCAATATGAGATAAAGTTATTTTATACAGTATTATTCAATAATAAACAATAAAAATGTAATATATTACACTGTACAGTCCAAAGTAGTTGTGTGTATTTTAGATAAGAAACAATCAAGTAAATTTTTCTTTATACAGTACTTTTAAAGGTTTATCTTCAGGCTGTTCCCAGAGTTCCTAGAGTCTTCCATCTAATGTTACTCTTCCCATACGCAATTTCACAGATGGATGGACTGTGGCAGAAAGAGGTGGACAGTTCTGACCTTAGGTCACATAGCAAGACAATTGTCCTCCCTTTAAAAAAATACAAAAATTCTATTGGCCCCACACTGGGAGGAGTCTAAGTAACTGCTATTTGCAAAGCATTGCAATGAAGACAGTTTCACCTCCAATGATCAAAACCTGATGAAGATCTGAAATATTTTTTCACTCTAATTTGTGATACAATTTTCAAAGATTCTGATTTAAACTAAATCAATCTTATCAAGCATTTCCGAGTTTTATAAATCAAATGTAATCTCTAAACTTTGTTTTTTTTTCAAAAAGTCTTATTTGATTATTCCTGCTGCCTATTTATTGGTGCTGTAGCTGTTAAATACAGTACATTTATCTTAGCTGATGAATGCTAAGAATGGCTATGCACCACAAAATGCACCAATATATTTTGTATTGATAAGACTAATTGTATTTCTGAAACACCTAAATCAAGAGTCCATCCCACTACCCATATTTAACCCCTCACAATGTGTGAGGCCCACTATGACATTCAAATAGCAAGGGCCCTGTAAGCAGCAGAGCAAACTGATTTATTGAAGCTGCATTTGCTAATTTAATTTGTAATCATTGTCTAGCTTTTAGTGGGCTTTTAGTTCACAGGTTTTAAGTTATGTGTGTAATTAAAATTTTTGTGACAAAAATATATTTTTTCAGCTTGAAGTGGGAATTTATATATTTTATTAATTTATTTTGCAATTATTAAAGAATTTGAAGGTAATAAATATAAACCTGTACTTCATACATTGCATTAATGTAATATAATCTAAATATAAATACATCCAATTAATTTGATTTCATTTTGCTATAAGGTCATTCAGTTAATTCTTTAACTATATTGCATCTCTAAATTGCCATTTATTTTGACCAAGAAAATCCTTGAAGTATTAATGTAACTCAAACGACAGTTATGGATAAAACTTTTCTATAATAAAGACACTTTGCTTTTAACAATTATATTGGTAAAGAAAACTTTGATTCACACCTGTACAAAAATGCCACAATTGCATTATAGTGTATATTGCAAAATAAGAATTATACAATAAATTTGAATAAAACACATAATCTAGTTATTGAATAAAAACACACATACCAATAGAAACTACATGATAACTGAAAACATATAAGAAATGATAGTGTCACCTATTGGCATGCACAAATGACTCAGAAATCTGCCAATTTTGTTCGGTTTTTGAGTTTATTTCCAAGGAGATGAAGGACATGTCTGATAACGTCTCACTAATAAGTTTCTTCAATTGTAAAGGCTATATTGATTGATGTACATCAACAACCAAATGCATGTGTACACAACAAAAAGTAATTTACATGCTTACATGTATGTACATTTATTTTATGGCTGTATATAATTACAGCTATATAATAATAAATTTAAATTATAAAACTAAGAAATTAAAAGGTGAGCTGTGTGAATTAATCTTTAATGTAATATACTTTGAAAAAAGTAATATTGTATTTCAACATTCTGAATTTCTGTATGTCATAAATACATTCCATTTTTAAAGTGAATTTAGTGATTATGAAAGAAAAATATAAACACTAATTATAAACAACGGTAAAAAGGAGTTCAGAGGATATAAGACAGTCATTTTCACTTTAAGTGTATCAATGTCCATTTTAAACTGATTTAAATCACTTTATAGCACTTCCATTATAACATGCATTTGTCAATGGTGTAATGAACTAAAGCTGTTTAGTATTTTCAGTGTTATGTTTTAGGTTTTCTATTTTGAATATGGTTTTGATTACCGTATCTATAATTCAGATTTATATTTAAATGTCTCCAAAACATAATTATCTCATGCACTCAGTGTTAAATTTGTTTTGTCATTGAAAACAAAAACAGCAACTTTATAGCCATTTGAAAGGAAATTTAGCTTAAAGTTAAAAATTCATTGTAACATGAGTTATGAGTTGTAACTTGAGTATCATCTAGCCCTACTTCAGAAAAGATGACAGAAATTATGTAACTTTTTCACATGTAAATTACAAAATGCTGCAGTTTTAAATTTTTTAGCCTTTGATGCAACTTTTCAAAACACAATGTCTTGAATAATGTATTAGTAAATTAATAAAGTTAACTGTAACTTTGAGTGGTGAAAAAGAATGTTACAACGAGCTAGCAGTATCTGATATTGCTTAATTCTTATTTTTAACTGGAATTACAAACGTTGTATATTTAAAATAGAGAAAAGACTTATGAGAAATATTTTAAATTACATTCAATGAAGCAGTCAAAGTGTAAGTTTTAAAAACTTATTTTTACAGCATTTCAAACTTTCAAAAAACTGTCCATCTTATTTTGAGTCTTCAGCCCCTCCTCCATCCCTCCACCACACCACACAAGATGTGCAGCCTGAGAAATAAGGTCCAGTATTTTCCTTGAATACTTATATATAATGATTCCTGTAGAAAGTTAAAAATATATACCTTATAATCTTAATAATTTTAATTGTAACACCAGAATTAAATTAAGCAAAGTTCATTTTTATTAATATTATATAAGTTACTTGTATACCTAAAATTGATGTTTTAAATTCCAAGTACTATTATCTATACAAATAAATAGCACATTCAAATAACATACATTACAATGAATTCTTGCTTTGTTTTTCCAATAATGATAATAAGTTTTACTGTGACTGAGAACTGGCTTTGCTGCTTTATACCAATATTATAATTTTTGGTTCAAGTTGTGATAAGGAATCGTTAAATATTACCATAAAAAATGCATCGTTACATTTACAACACAGAAAAACGACTCGTTGTATTTTGTGCGTTTTTATTCGTTTCCAAACTTTTAGAACTACTAAAGCCATTTACTATTATATTTTAAATCTGATACTAGATTAGCAGACATGTGGTGGATACATGTGGGAAGGGTATCGATTTTAACACTTCTTGTAATTCACGCAAACTACGGTTTAATGCGACTTAGAATTTACAGCGTTTCAAAAGAAATTATGTACTTTTACTGTTTAGTAATTACAAACCATTCGGGTGCTTTAAAGAAAATAAAAGATAACCTTGATCCCCAAGTGAGGACGACAGAATGGGCCGTGAAATGGGGCTTTTTACATTCTATCAACTCTTTTTTTGGATTGGTGGACTGGGGTTAAGATCGGAAGTAGTTTATTTATGCTAATGAAGGAGTTGAGGTTGTAGATATTTACGTTCAACGGGAGCCGCCCTTCATTCACCCACATGGTTACAACTGGGGTGCATTCGCGCCACTTTCACGGTTTTTTTTAAACTCTAAACAGATACTAAAGCAAAAGACTTAAGATTGTGCGAGAAATCTTTGTGATCCAGTTAAGCTATAAAGCGAGTTAAAGTTTAGGGTTTAGTTTCTTAAATCTGCCTGGAGCAGTGACAGTAAACGGTAAGTCTGTTTGCAAGTGAGTGAAGATGGTGGATTTCACTGGTGAGTGTCTTACTACGCGCATGTTATTGACAAGGGACCTGTTGTTAGCTGTTCCCTGAAATGGGAGAGTGCATAATGTACGTTTTTATTTGAAAAAGTTTGATAAGGCTCTTTTTAGACGTTTATTTTTTGGCGATCGTTTTTAAATAAACAGCTTAGCAATAAAAACAATGTAGTACAGAGGCGCATGGCAGCCCTATCCTCCATAGTTATTAGAATGAGGGAGATTTGAAAAGCGTGCTGCTGCTGCCGTTTCTCTGCAGTGTCCCTCTGAACTCTGCCGGTCGAAACGTAAGCTCTAATTTTTCGTACAAATAAATTGGGAATGAGATGATATCGGGAAAGCAGCGGGAATTTTCGTAACTTGGCTGAAAAAAGTTAGTTTTCTTCGGTCTGCTCTATGTGCAGTGGTGTGTGAGTTAAAGTGCCTCCAGAACAAAGCAGCAGCACATGGGGCAGCTGCAGGCCGCGCTATACAACAAACTGGATCACAGGGAAATTATTTCGTAGAACATTCCCAATCGTCCTGGTATTCTACACACAGTGGAACAATTAAGATAACTTTTATTTTTCATTTTTTGATTAAATCTGATGTTGCTTAAATTGGGGGGGGGGAATACGGACAATGCGCAATAGAAGGCCGTTAGTTTAGTATGGGTTTTGAGTGATATTTAGCCGAAATGCATGTTTCTTTTTCATGTATTGTAACTTATTGTATTAAACAAAAAATGTAATACGCCGTGGAAATGTGTTTAATATTTAATCGGTAGTAAGAGCATGCTTTATACGACTGAAATGGGGATACAGAATGCGCGTGGATAATCTTTGGTTTAAATGTATGCATTCCATCTTGTACTTCAAAGTTGGGAGAAGCAGTAATCACACACGTATTTATTTATTTGAGAGCTATTGCTTTTTAAAACTGCCTTTTTGATACGAAATGCTCAGGTTTACGGACTAAGCGGCGCCATGTTAGTGCAGAGTGGGGGAGGGGTGAATTATAGGGAATGTTTCACGGCAGTGCGCATGCGTGTTGGGTCGTACTGACAACGCGGGCCGCAAGCTGCGCATTTCATTCAAAATTTAAACCTAAACCACTTCGACTGCGTGCGCGAAACGCATCTATTTTATCGTTGAATACTAAAATGTTTAATTAATGTTATTTATATAAATTTGACTAGAAAGTTCAATTAATGCGTCACGTTTTGACCGGGCAGTGACCCGCTGAGTTAGGCGAGTTCGAGCGCCCCTTAGCGTTTGAAAGAATTAGAACGTGATCCCCACGTAGCATGTGGTGCACCATGAGGCTCTGTTACTACTGTTTACTGGTGGATTCAGCAAAATACTGTATATAACCACGTTTGTTATTAATACTGGAATGAGATGGAGAAGTACGGCACACGATAGGTCAAATGCAGTGAGCACTTATCAGAAACATGAGCGGAGAGTCATTCTTGTGTGTTTAATACATATGACTGTGGCATTTCTTTTTTCTCCTTTAAGGCAAGAAAATCAGAAGATCACATAAGGTAAGATCAGCAGATCTGAGATTAGAGTAAAGTTTACATACCCCACAGTGCGTTTGATTTCTTACACTTTCATTAAAATGTTGGGCAATTATTAAACTCTAAACACGCATTCTTATGTGTATACTGAAGCAGAAATGCATAAATACACCAAATTGTCAAGTTATTGATTTATTTTGTTAATCTTTTTAAATTTTACAAGTTAAAAGTATAGAATGTGTATGTATAACCTATGTGGCTTTCTGAGGATTTACCCAAGTAAAAAGGTTTCTGTTGATTGCATTTTTCTAAAGGTGTCAATGATAATGATCATTGCTGACTACAACATTAATACTAAAATGTGGGGTTTAACAACTTTTTTTTAAAGCAGTTTCAGTGTTAAGGAGAGTCCTTCTATTTCTTGCCCTTTGTGTGGGATATGATGTAAGATTGACCATGTGCAGCTTCCTTTCTTTTTATCCAGTGAGAAGACGGAAAAAGAAGAATGTTGCTTAAGTCACGGTAACGTCAAAGTGCTTACAGTGCAGGTAGTACTATGGGATATCTACTGCAGTGGAGGCACTTCTAGCATTACAGTGACCAAAGCATCAAGCTATCACTTAGCACTGTGTGAGTGCTGGCTTGTCCTACTGCTTGTGCTAAGGTGCATCTAGTGCAGATAGTGAAGTAGATTAGCACCTACTGCCCTAAGTGCTCCTTCTGGCATAAGGGGCTGTGATCTGCATCTGGCATGAGGAAAACTTAGTTTTATGGGGTTTTTTTGCAGATCTCTGCTAGTTTTGCATAGTTGCACTACAAGAAAAATTGAGTTGTGCAAAACTATGCAAAACTGATGGTGGCCTGCTTTATCTCCACCTGTTTAACTTGAACCAGGGGGATTCCTTTGTTTGAGAATGTTGCTGCTACAGATTTAACGGAAGTCATTAAATTTCAACTGAATGGACACTCGGTTTGCCCCATGGACGATATGTGATGCGACGAGTTTCAGCAGTATTAAAGTGCTTATAGTGCAGGTAGTTTTTAGTGACCTACTGCAGTATGAGCACTTGAAGTACTTCTAGCTAAGTGCGTCGGACTTAAATTTGTTGCTTTAATTTCCACTGGTCTCTGGTTAGTTTTGCTGGTTTGCATTCAGCTGTAACACCACTGTTGCTGTGCAAATCCATGCAAAACTGACTATAGCAGTGAATATCGTGAAAGTGTTGCAGTGGTTCAGGGGTCCCTTTCTGTGCAGGTTGGGATCAGTTGCAGTGCTGTTTATTTGTAAGGTATTGCACTTGTCCCGGCCTGTTGAGGACTAAGGGAATTAAGCCACAATTTTTTGCTGTTCCATAAACTGCTGTTAAAAATGGTAAAAACCAATTGAATAAACGTCCTGGAATCTTTTAGAGGTTCATACGTAGGAGCCATGCATTTTACTTATTTTCTCTGAATTTTGTTTACATGTTGTAAAATTGAGATTCATTAAAGTGTAAGATTTTAAAACTTTGTGCAATGGCATTTTTTCCTTTACTTGTTTTTATAGATTCAGATTTTTTTTTTTACAAACCCTCAGATTCAAGACAACCTCTAAATAAAAATCAGGTTGGGAAGTTATATATTTGTCTGCTGATGTAGTTAGAGGTTCAGTTAGAAAAAGCCACTGAATTTCATCCTGCGCCCTTTTTTTACATGGTGTTTGGGGAGTGTCACTCAAAATGTCAACCTTGTTCATCTAGTCATGCCAGTATTTTAGTTTTAGCTATTAATTGTATTTAATGAAATACAACTTGCATTTTGTCATGTCATTGGTCTGTACATGTAATTTCAGATTTTGAGCGTGGATCATACAGGTGTGTGTTTTTTTTGGAGAAACCAAGAATTAGTATTTTGAATCCAGTCGTGTGCAGTCTAATGTCTGTTTGGAAGTTGCATTCTATGTTAGATTGCTGCTTTTTAAATTACTGGTCTGCTTAAGCATTGATAAATTTAGACGTAGGCAAAATTATATGACAACCTTCATGAGTAAATGCCAGTAATTCCAGGATATAGCTAGCAGGATTTAGGGTAATGAGAACCATATAAAATATTTCCCATTTTATGAGTTGATCACTTTCTTATGACACTTGTATTAATTATAAATTAATAATACAATTATTCAGCTACAGAGTGGGAAAATTGAATGAAGTTAGGTTAAATTATGACTTGCAGACAGTGAAACCACCCTATCTGAATAATGGATAGGTCAGATATATTGTACATCTTCACAAAGCAGTATCCTGTTCAGACCATCTTAGTGATAAACTAGTCTTCATATTTTGAAAATGGTATCTGAAACTTAAGCTTTCTAGATAAATGTGGGTATTTGCTTTTGAGAAATAATGCCATGTGACTATTGGGTTAACAAATGTTAATGTTGGATTGGTGATGCAGAATGACTAGTATGAAGTGAAATTTAATGTGAGGTAGTTTTAGTTTTAAGTAGCAATGTAATATTCTGAACAGTTTTTTTTTAATCTAAAAGGGGAAAATGTTATTGCTGAGTGCATTGTTTTTCGTTTTATGAACTGATGCAAGTCTGCTCAAAATAAAAACATTGATTGTATTTAGAGTTTATAGTAGAAAATATAGTTAAGTGTAGTACTTAGTTAATGAAATCAAAAGATATGTTTTGAGCAAAAAGTTTAAGGCCTTGATAAAAGGGTGCATGGTAAAATCTTTTTTTCCTATGTTTGCTCAAATTAAGTGAAGAAATTTCCACTTCACCGCGAAACTAAAATTGATGAGGTATCTTGGTTTGTCAAGTCGGATGCAGCAAAAAACAAAAAAAAACCCAAAATGAAAAATTTAAATTTTTGAATGAAAAAGAACTGAATTAAAAAAATGGAATTAAGGTGCTTTTTCTGGCAGGGACAGACTTTGATGCACCCAATCAGATTTGTTTTTAATCCTAGTGTGAATTTTCTGGTTTAAGGTATTCAGTCTTAAATACCTGCAGTTTTATCCCTGCATTGAAAATTTTGGGGGAATTTTTGCTGCCTTTTCTCAGAAGTTCTGATGCAGACGATTTAGTAAGTTCCATGATGGAATTTATTAATATGTGATAACCTAGTGATAATATAAAGGGGATATTGCATGCAGTTGGGAAAGTGCACTATATATATAAAAAAAAAATTCCAGCTTATCTCCATAATGTAAATGTGAAGAATGACATGACAGCTGCTTTCAAAGTATTTTAAGCACATCTTGACATTAATTTATTATATGCTTTTCATGCTTGAAACATTTTTAAATTTAAATTGCCTTTATGATTAAATATTGTATTTCTCAATGTGTTTGTCTTAATTTTAAAACATACTTGCAGTAGGTTTTGTAAGGAACTTTAAAATGTGATCGAATAAATGTGAGTGCATGATGCTAAACTGTCCCGTAAGACTTAAAATGTGGAGTTGCCAATGTTCCCTGGTGTTAAGCCCTAACCAGAGCCATGGAAGTATTTCCTGCGCACATTAATATCAGGTATATGTTTCAAATAATTGTGTGTAGCAGTTATGCTTTTGTCTCCACCCTCTTTGAAGAAAAGATGACCATGGTTTTCTGCGTGGTTGTGCCCTATATTTTGGTGCTAGGGTGGCTACAACTGTTTCTAAGAGGTTACAAACTATGAGCTACAATTCCAAGAAAAGCTGAAAAGTTCAGGGTAAAAATAAAATTCTGAGATTGCTGAATTTCTGCTGTTGCTGAAACAAATGCAGAATTCTTAGGCTACTGCTAGTTACTCAATAAATTCATTACCATTAGGACCTTTTTCTTGCATGTTCTATGTTAAATATTACCATTAGTTTAATACTAAAATTAAGTACTTTTATAATCAAAATTTAATTTGTAACACAAGACACAGATGTGTAGTAGATGCAGTGAACAGACGTCACACACTAAAAACAGATGTTACCAGACATTGGCCAAATTTTGTAGTTTAAAAAGGTACAGTTGGATTTAGCATTTTATTTCATTCAAATCCTATGCTCCTCATGCACAGCCCACTGTTTCCAGGAGTTTGTGTACTGAGTTGCAGTCACCAACTCTGAATAAAGTTTTTTTTTTTACCTATTCTTTCAGAGTATGTTGCTATGAATGAGAAAAATTAGTTGTGTTATGTAAGGTTTAAATAATTAAAAAATAATTTGTTTCTGGAGCTTTTTGGACAACAGTTCAGCTGGTTCCAAAAAATGTTGCCACAGTGCAATAAACATTTTAAACAATGCAGTAAACTTGTTTACTGTACTGTGGTTGCATATCTTTCTAACCAGCTAAGAAAATGTATTTCTCCTGAAAGGCCCTGAAAGAATTTCTTAAAATAATTTAAACTTCATATATAACAGCTTTTTTCTCTTACAATTTATACTGTATATGTATACTGGTTATTTTGTAAAATGACTATAGTTGTCTCATTTATTCAGAAAAGCAATGAGTGAGAGGCCATTTGTTCCATAAAGCTTATCTGGTCCTATTTTCTGTAGTCCCTGGTTAATGGGGAACAAATCTCCCAAGTATGAAATTCTATTGACAATCTCCCTAACCCTCCAGAAAAGGAATCCTCTAGAGTACACAACTTGAATCTCTTTGGGAAGTGGATGGAAAGCACTGCAACTGGAGACAACCCGCAAAATGGTGCACAAGCCTGGAATTTGATCCAGTACTGTGGAGTTGAGACAGATCTGCACAGCACTGTCAGCAGTTAAAATCTCAAATGTAATTTTTGCAAAATGATTGCTTCTATGCCCAGTCTGTGTATTTGATTATCGGTTAATTTGAAGTATGATGATAACCTGTACTTTTTTTGTGCTGAGGCTGATTACATGAATTTGTAAAATGTTTGATTTATTTTTTTACATTACATTTGGTAAATAAGACAAGTAAAGGTGGATTATACATTAAAATGTGAGATGTTTCTTTCATTATGAGGTTGAATAGCCAGAAATTTATAATCCCAAACAGATTGGGGTAGATGTTCAAATATTCAAGATTTCGTACTGAGGAACAAATTCCTAAAGTATTTTCTATTTCATATACAGAAGCACACTTGCATTTGACATATCAATTCCAAATGTTCCTGTTAATTGCAAGGAGTAATGAGTCTTAAATGCAGTTACGGGACTTAATTTTAATAGATCAGTTTTTAAAAATGGTAATATGGTCTTGTGTATGAATGAGGTAACGGGAGAAAATAATCTGCTGCGAATTAACGCTGTATAAATTAACACACAAAAGTACTTGTGTACTGAAAGCATCTACAGATATTCAGTGTTTAAAAAAGTATATGGGTGTATTTCAACTTCTTTGGAAAGGTATTAGACCCAGGACTGATCCCAATTTAAACTAACCACTTCTTACACCATTTGTAATTTCTATCATGTAATTTTAAAAAGTAGTTTGTAAATGAGCATGTTCCTGCACATAACACATTTTCTGAAATGTTTCATTTTATGTAATAGACTGAGAAGAGTGATAGTATTGTGTTCTTTAACTTTGTGAATACTTAAGTGTAAGATATAGTTATTGTATGTCATGTAGAATTCATTTAAACCGCAGAGGCATCCCCTCAAAAAGCTTTAACAATGCCAAGATATTTTATGATTTAAACATTTTAATTTTCAAATGGATTGCATGCCTTTAAAAACTGTAATACAATTATCCTGTTTGTGTGCGACACCTGTTATCATTGACATTGCAATTAATGCATTCCTTATAACACTTTCCTTAGAATGTGCAAAAACGCTTCAATACCTAAAGATCCAGCTAACCTATGAATCATATAATGGTCCCCCCCCCCCCCCCCCACAGCTGTTTAGATCAAATA